TCCACTGTTTCGTCGTTTTGCGCCCACGGTGTGGATGGGTGCTGATGGCATTTCGACTTCTTTGACTTGGATCTAGATCGGGTTTAGACTCGTGGGCCATGACGTGGACAAGGATGAACACAACGTGAATGTCAACTAAAAATTGACTTTGTCTTTGACCGTTGACTCTTTGACGTGAGTTGACTTTTAGTCAACTCTTAGTTTTTGGAAGGTGGGCTAATGGTTTACCTTGTATGAATAACTAGGTAGGGTATAATACCTATATTTCGGCAGTGAGAGCAGTAGCAGTTGATTATCGTCTGAGAGGTGAGTCTTTTCACTGTACTTGCAGGTCGAAGGCATTAATGTAGGCCCAATGAGTTATGTATGTAGGATGCTACCTGTCTTTGTGACTCTTGCATGTGTTTGTATGTATGTCGCGCGGGGTCCATTATGTAATCCCGGGCGGGGCCCGATGGAAACTGGGTGGGGCCTGATATATGTATGGTATGTGGTATTTTGTGGAACTCACTAAGCTTTGTGATTACGGTTTTATGTTTATGTTTCAAGTACTTCTGGTACGAAAAGGAAGAGCTCGACTTGATTGCATCACATCCACCGGTGTTCCGTATTTATGACATTGTGTTGTACTCTGATAATTATTTGATACTCTTCTATACTTAGATGGGTTTCAGAATGAATGAATGATGGTTTTGATAGACTTAAACAAAAAAAAATTATTGTTATTTTTGGGATGTTTCATTATGGGACCATCTAACTTTAAACCTAATATAATGATCCTTCAAAACTTTAAACCTAATATATATTTCTCTTTTATTGAACACGCAACCACCAACATCACCGAGAATCTGCACCAGTGCCGGAAAATGAAGCACCACCAAAACTATGCACAACCACCATTGGAAATCCCTCTTTACCGACGCCACTAACCACCACCTCATTTTCCCTCCTTTTACTCACAAAACCCAAAAAATGCATCAAAATAAAATCAGAAAATCCTAAATCTTTCTGTAACCCCATGAAATTATATCAAAACAATCTAAAAAATTTGAAATATTTCTCTAAATCCAGCAAATGCATAAAAAATTTCAGATGGGTATAGTGATTGACTCTTCCAAATGCATACCGGAAAATGTCAAACGAGGGTTTGGATTTTGACACTTCGGATAGCAACGATGATTTAGGGTTCCGGGTTACCCGTCCCCTTCTCTAACCATCTTTTTCCTCTCCTCCATCGTCTTCTCCGTCCGAGTTTTCCGATCTATTCTTCCTTCCGTCCAGGTTCGCCAGAAGTCGATGTCTTGAGAAAGAGAAATGAGTACGAGAGAGAGAAAGAAATAGGAGAAAGAGCGTTGTTGGAGACGAGGTAAAGAGAGATGAGTGAGTGAGGGTTTGATGGCATAGTCAGAGGTATCTTAAAGTGGTCGGAGATGCCTTGGAGCAGCCGGAGTACTAAGTCGGTGGTGATGCAGGTGGTCGGTGTGGGTGGTGATGGTGGAGGGGAAACGTAGTGAAGAAGAAAGGGGATAGGTGGGTTATGAACAATTTAAAGGGTTTAGGGCTATTTATTACTTAAGGCATTAAATAAATATTTTTTTTATAATAAACAAATTAATAATTAATTAATAAATAACAAATAAATACGAAAATAAATGAAAAAGAAATAGAAAATGGTAATATTGTTTGTTAAAGACGAAACATGTAAGTTTTAAACAAACAAGGGACGGTCCGAGTTAATTTTTGAAAATATGGACTAAACATGTTTTTTGACATTTACACGATTCATGTAATTTACTCTAATAATTTCATATGTAGCCGATGAAAAATAAATAGTGATTCAAAATATAAAAAGTAAATTACAGTTTTGGTCCTTATGGATCGGATATTTATGCATGTTTAGTTATAATATTGAAAAATTAATATGAGTGGTCCTTATGCATAGGGTTGTAAACGAACTGAATGTTCGGCGAACTGTTCGTGAACCGTTCGACGGGAAGTTCGTTTATGTTCGTTTATTTAATAAATGAAAGAACATGAACACAAATTCTCGTTCGTTTAGTTAAACGAACGAAAATGAACAATGGTCTCGTTCGTTCGATTACATTCGTGAACGTTCGTTTATGTTGTTCGTTTATATAAGTTCCTTTTATGTTCATATATGCTTAATTGTGTTTTATTACATTACTATATTATATGTTCATTTATGTTCATATGGGTTCAATTATGTTTATTTATCTTTGTTCATTTATATTTGTTTGTTTATGTTCGTTAAGCACGTTCACGAACATGAACAATGTAATTTGTTAAACGAACGAACATGAACAAGAAAACTCGTTCATTTATCCGTTCGTGTTCGTTTATTTGTTCGGCTAACTTAAACGAATGGACATGAACAAGCCCCCGTTCACGTTCGTTCGGTTCGTTTACAGCGCTACTTATGCATGAAAAACCCACCACTGTTGGTTCCTTAACCCGCATGGGCGGAGCTTATATATGGCCAGGGGGGCTGTGCCCCCCCCCCCCCTATTTTTTTTAACAATTAGTCCATAACTATTTAAAAAGTTACATATTATGCCTAAAACTATAAAATTTGACTTCCCCCCCCCCCCCCTCCTGTTCTTCAATTTTTATACATATTCAATTTCGCCCCCCCCCCCCCCAATCAAAACTTCAACTCCGCCACTGTTAACCCGTTATCGTCAATGACGATTTTATCTATGTTTTTTTTCTTATTTCTTATTTTCTTCCTATATATATATTATATATATATATATATATTATATATATATATATATATATATATATATATATCACATAACACCTTATGAATAATATACTTTCTATTCTTCAAAGTTTTGCTATAAAAATTTCAATACTTTGTTACTTTTCGTCCCTTCTTAACTTTTTCAAAGTTTTGTCATTAAAATTTCAACACTTTGCCATTGTTGGTCCCTACTCAACTTTTCATCACATTAGTTTGTGGAGTTGACACTTTTGGTCCCCCACATTCGATATTCTCTACTGTTAGCCACAAAGGTTTCAAGAGTTTGCCCCTTTTGGTCATTGGCATTTACCAAATGTGACTCTTCAACTTTTTGTCATATTAGTTTGTGGAGTTGACGCTTTTGGTCCTTATACCTTCGATATTCTACTATACAACCCTACTTTCCTCAAAACATTACACACACACAAAATAGAAACAAAAAACGAGAAGAAAAACCAAAGAAACACTGAAATATGTAAACATTAAATGAATGGGTCCCATCAACCCCGCCCTTAAATTCACCTTGGGTGTCGTTGACTCCAGCACTTCCGCCCACTATCACTAAAATTGCCAAACACCAACATCACCATTAAAAACGTCACTCACAACCATCGCATTCAAACCATATCCGCACTCAACCCCTCTCTTGACCAGCTTTGCCTTCGACAAGACACTGTCATCACAATAGTCCAAATAAGCTTTAGATCCAATAAAAAAAAACTTGCGGTTCATAAACCCTTGGTCCTATAGGGTAATGGTAGGAGACGAGGTGAACGAGGGTCCATAAACAAAACCCGTGATCCTTTGGTAGCACCAATATGAACATTAAGTGGTGGTAGGAAAATGAGAGGTGATAGAGGTTTATCAATGATGGGAGAAGGATAATGACGTTGATAAAGATTATTGGTTTTAGAGCCGTCAACGATAATTGCAGCTATGGCAACGAGTGTGATGGGTGTAGACCTGGCAAAACCTGACACAACACGACACAAACCCAAAATGAAAATAGAGGGTTTGGGTAAGAGATTTCTATATGTTTAAGTAATGAGTTGACACGGCACGACATGACATGAAAATTAAACGAGATGGGTTAGGTTCAAGACTTTCAATTCAAAGATGATTCGAATATGATTCGTTTAATTATATATCATTTTTTATAGATTTCATATTTTTATAAATATATTATATGTTATAGACTTGTAGAAGGCAAAACTCAAGAATTAAATTAAAATACAAACTTTCAAAGTGACTTAATTTTACTCATCATCACCACCTATCACTTTTGCTCTCCAACTCTAAACTTACTATGAATTTTGTTATTTCACCTCCCAATTACAGTGTTTCACTTTTTCCTTTTCTCCTGTCATCCCATACTTTCCAATCTTTAAAATGTTTCAACCTAACGTGACATAACATATTTATAAGGTCGAAACCTTAACTCAAAGCCAGACTCAAAATTAAATTGGTTGATACGACACAATAACTAAACGGGTCGAGTTAGGGTTAAGCCCTCTCAACCCGTTTAATGTTTTGATACGACACAAATCTGACACGAAACGAAACGTTTGTCAGGTCTAGATGAATGTTATGAGAGGGAAAGAGCATTAAGGATGGAGGTCATTAGAGGGGACTTTTATCTAGGGGTGAACATTTGGACTCGACCGACTCTTGGACTGGACCAGTTTTGCAGAAATTGATGGACCTTGTATCGGACCTGTTGAGGCTTACCATATCCGGTTGTCGGTTCTATGACGTCTGGGTGAGCATTTGGACCGAGACGAACCAATTCTTGGACTGAACCGGTTTTGTAGAAATTAGTGGACTTTGGATCAGACCTGTTGATGTTTACCATGTCCAGATCCGATTCTCGATCCTAATGTCCAAATGTTTACCCCTACTTTTATCCTTTAGGTTTTTATTTCACCTTTTAACTTAATTATAAAAATTGTCCTTAGAAGTTCCGAAAATGATAATATAAAAAAATTAAGACTAAACATATAGACGAATACTAACCATATGGATAATTTACTCTATAAAAAAATCGATAAAAGTGTAATTTAGCTATAAAAAAATCGATTCATTCAATGTCACATGCTAATTCTGTTTTGTTATTTTTTACATGTTAAAAAACACATTGCAATGATTACTGGTAATTGGTAAATAACTGAATACATATATACAACTTTATTTTCGGAAAATAGGTGTTTGAAGGGTGGGAGTATTCCGATTTGACTATAAATCATTCTAGCCTGTATTTGGAATACAAGCTTTGTTTATATCGCCGAGGGGTACAAAGCGCAAAACCCTAATTTGCTCACTGATACTCAGTCCCGTGAATTAACTCTCGAATCTTAATCTGTTCTGATTCTATCTGTTTCATCGAATTCTTCCTGTGACGATCGCTTTGTGTTATCATCATCTATACTATGGCTGTGAAAGAGAAGAAATCACCAAAATCAAGCCTCAAACTTCATAGCAGCCACGTTTCTCCTCTAAAGTTTGAGAAATTGTTCGATCCAGAAGCTTTTTGGGACAAGGTCTGCTTTCTGAATTCAATCTATTTTCGTGTTTCTCATAAAGTTATGCATCAAATATGATCGTCACAATGTATTTCCATCCTTGATCCTGTTACGCTGTGGCAAAATTTCACATGTAAACCTTAGTCTGTAGGGGAATTTGATTTGCGATTTATTTCTAGGTTCCATGTTCTTGTTGGTTTCCATGAGTAAAATTTATGACACCTCGCCGCGGTGAACGCTAGAATCTAGATGCAAGATTATGACATCTAATTAATATAGGGTTTAATGTTTGCGCTAATAAATTTATATGATCATAACTATGAGTGCGAATTGGAGTTGCAGGAAGCTTCTTTATGGAAATTAAAAAGCAAAAATTTGTTATCAAGTATCAATGTTAGCTGACTCTACTGTGGCTATTATATATTTATATGCCTTGAATTTAACCTGAGTTACCTTATAAGCACTAACTGTCTATCAATCTTGGTATGAATGAGAGGATATATCGGATATAGATTTTTGGGAAAATGGCAGAAAATAGCAACATTCTTTCTTCTTGCTATCAGTATGGGCGATGTACTTTTCTTTTTTATCCATGATAGCAACATACTTATATTCATATTTACCGATAACAGTCTTGCTTTATTACTTAGTAAGTTAATTAGTCATGGTTTGGTTTCTCTATAAATGTATTCCATGAGAATAAAAGATGTGTCTTCTCAACACATTATTACATACTAATGACTAATCTATATTGTTCTTCTCATCTTTAGACTTTTTTTTTCTACCTTTAATCCTTTAAAAATATTAACAATTTAAAAGATGGTTACCATTATGAACTCTGTTTTCCTGTGATCCATTCAATGCAGGACCAATTAGGTGATGTACTTCACTGGATTCGACAAATAGTTGCCCTTGTATGTGGATTGATATGGGGTTCAATTCCATTGGTTGGGGGCATATGGATTGTTGTGTAAGTTGATTGCTTCATATCCACTATCCAACTATTTCTTGTGTCGACTTGGCATCCATGTGGCGTTGACGTGGCATCCATGTAGACTTTTCTTAACATGTAGTGTCTTTGGTTTCAGATTCCTGCTTATTTCTTCTGGTATAATATACGGATATTATGCAATCATATTAAAGGTCGATGAAGAAGAATTTGGTGGGCATGGATCCCTTCTTCAAGAGGGTCTTTTTGCTTCAATAACACTCTTCCTGGTAATTTTATTTTTCATGTTTAATCAGTTGTTTTAGGGTACACATACACATTACTATTTTATGGTGTTAACATTAAATTTTTTTTTTTTTCAGCTGGCTTGGACTCTGGTATACAGCTTGGCTCACTTTTGATCTGGTTAATTTCATCATATTATTTGCAACATGTGTAAGACATTTGATTCATTAGTAGCTACGGTTTTGTTATCATATATACATGTAGAGTGCAATTATATTATATTCAATTTGATTTGATGCTTGTTGCAATAAAATGCTTTCTATTTATATCTGTTCTCTACTTTGTGTTTTCAAAGCACAAATCTATCAAAGAATAATACAATTCAACAAGTTATGTAATTTGTATTTACTAAATATCTAGTTCATATAATAATAGCTACAATTCACATTTTACAAATTTGTTGCTATACTTGCTTGAGATCTTTGTCTAAAAATAAGAATGATCTGATATGCAAAAATCATTTATATCATCAAGTCCATCTTTGTCCTCTGTTTGTTCGTCTTCTTCTGATCAAATATATTCGACCATAAACCCATCTCTTCCCTGGGCTTGCAATTGATTTCTGTGTACAAAACAAAAAAATTTATTAAAAAAAATAATAATAAATAAATAAATAAAATCTTGTAACATGAAAATAAATATAATTTTACACAATTTACCTCGACTTTTGTGCGAAATTCTAATAAGCATTCACATACATGACATTCAGCTTTATGTGGGGAATTACTAAATTGATTCGATTTCACAAATGCAAATACCTGCATATTAAAGCAATGATTTTTTGAAAGAATGGAATCCATCAAAGGAATTGGAATACAAGAGAATTCCAATTCCATCAGATTCCTTTGGCATCCACAAATCAAACACGCCCTAAAAATTGTAAAAAAACTAACCTCCTCCCCACAATTTGGGCATGCCCCTTTTATCGCCACCAAGTCATTTTTCCAAAGGCCTTTAAGAGCTCCAACTGTTGGAATTTAAAAAGAACTTTAAAAAGGGGGGAAATGGAAAATGTAAAACAATCTTTAGAGCATGTGAATGAGACGATTCTAATTGAGTAAATGTTGAAATTAACTTATTACCAGCAGCTGAAGCAACTGGATAGCCAATCATGGATCCCAGCATCATTACAAGCATGCCATTCATCATGGCAATCAACTCAAGAGCTTGACTACTGGTAGACAATCCTGAATCTATGGCATCTTTAAAAGCTTGGCCAAAAGTGTAAACTACAGGCACTAGACACGCAGAGCTTCCAAATCCAAGAAACAATAACCACACACTTGCTAATGCAAAAACCTGAGAAGGATCTTCCTGCCCTACATCCATGTTATATAACGTTTTAATGGAGGAATATTTGATTTACAGAATCGTAATGATTTCATACAAAAAATTACCTCAGCATCAGCATAAGTTGAGTGTTGCCTTAAACTGCAACGTGGATACTTCACAACGTACTTTGATCCATACCACCGTAACTTCAACTGTTTCAATTGCTTTTCTGAAAGTAAGTATATGAAATGAAGATTGATAGCTTCAATTGTAAACAGAGTTTGAGATTACCTCTACTCTATCAAACATGTCATCAACTATCAATGGTTTTCCACTATAGTACGCATCCCGCGCCTATATCAGATGATTCGAGAAACGTAAGGAAATTAGTAACTGATCATATCGGGAATTCAATTTCGGAAGGTTTTAATTGTTGAAATAGATACGTACTTGACGATAGAGAGCTTCTAGGGTTTCCTGACTGGCGCTTTCGATCGGACCGACGAATAAGCAGGAAGGTCCCTCGAGGAAGGCTTTGGATGAAGATTGACGGATGTGGCTGCTTCGAATTGAAAGTCCATTGTTGCTGCTGTTCTTACAGGAAATACGAACCAGCGGCGACGGAGCTAAGGTGCGGCTGTTTCTGGAAAGCTCGACGACGGTGGAGCCAATAACGTGAGGCGTCGGCACGTTGGCGCTGGTTCCAGTGGCCATAAAGTGGAATTAATGTGTGGCGATAGTTGTCTCCGGCGGAATAGTAGCGTGTGCGTGTGGCGTTGAGGTTGTTCGGAGACGAAAGTATCTATGACATTGTGAACGGCAAGTTGGAGATCTTTTGTGGCCACGAATTCAGAGTGCGTCTTGAAAACGAAATGACGAAAGCGCCCTTTGAGATTTTACACAAAAGACATTTCATTCTTTCTTGGACTAATTTATAGAGATGGTACTTAAAGTATAGTAAAAATCTCGTTTTAAGTCCAAAATTAAAATTCTGGCACCAACAATCCTTACGTTTTAATTTATGACATGGTTGGTCCCTCTCACTAACACAATTAGTAAAGAACAGCTAATGTGATTAATTTGGCCTTTTTGTTTTTTATTTTTTTCTTATTTTCATTATTTATAATTAATATGTATTATAGACACTACATACCTCTCTCTTCTCACATATCTTTCTTGCATTAGCCTCTACCATTGTCAGTGGTGGAGCTTAAATTTTTCAACGGTCTACACATTCACATTAACAGGGGAGTGTTGGTGTGTTGCAGTCCCTTCCTCGATCAATGGCTTCATATCGAACGGACCTACACAAATATGAAGGTTTTGATTTGAGGAGGATGAAGGAGTGGTGTTGACGGGAAATTATCGACGATCGGTTTTGGTTGTGTTGCACCTTGCAAGGATGCCCCCTTGACCACACCCATTGACCAACCAATGTGACTGTTGTCAATTTAATTTATTCAAGTGTGCACTCAGCACTTGCAAGTTCGGATTATAGCTAAAGTTGAATTCAACTTATTTGAAACTAATATTGATTGTACTAAGTAGCTTAATGACATTAAAATCACCAACATAAAGGGGCAACGGGACGTGGGGATAGGTTAGCAGGATGTTAAGAGAACTTTCGTAGTGCCTGCGCTTTTGACTTTAAATCAAACCGTAAATACCCCTCTAAAACTTGTTATGTTTGAATCTTGTTGTCTGCTACGACTGAATCCCACTATTAGTTCGACAATTATCGTAGACGAAAATTAGCAGGCATACGAATTCCAGATTTCGGCCGGAATAAAGTTATTTGTACGATTATTATCTTTTTGGAAGCCAAACGCTTGAGAATTAACATCCATGGGCGAAGTCGGTTTTTGTATTTCAGGTGAAGAAGAGGAGTTACAGGGATTGGGGCTGGGGCTCCAAAGTCTAAACAAAATAACAATTGTTGGGTAAAGTCTAACTAATGGGCTATAGAAGAAAATTGAACTTTGGGCCTAAACCCATCAACTTAGGGTGGATAGCTAACGAATAAACGTTAGCTACTTATTCTTGATCTTTTATTTTTCAAGTTAAGAATAGCAATAATGTTTACGAAAATGGTAGGTTTTCTCCCTAAAATTTAGATCATTGACATTTTTGTTTAATATAAAATAGACTTAAGTTGCTGGATATTTCAATTTCCCCGGGAATATTTCTAACAGATTTGGATGTAAAAATGTACCTTATAATATCCCACAAAATTAATGTTATTAAACGTCAAAATTTAAAAAAAATCTACCTTGGACTTTGCAAAATATAATTTTTTTTGGACAAATGTATGTTTTTTATTCAAGTATCTCGCTAAATAAAATCACAATGAGATAGAAGACAAACCAATAACAAACTATGCCACTATATCTTTCTGGATTGCAAAACCAACTTTTTTTAAAACTACGTCCACGGATCTTAGGGTCGTAAGATTAGAATGTATGACATGTTGCACTCGTTTTAGGACCTTCATCGCTTCTGGTGCTAGAAAAACCAAATGTATCAAAAACAAATAGTACAAACACGTGTTGATTATCAATACACATCTTTTCGTGTTTGGCCACTTTACTTGATGCCATTTTAAAGCAATTTGTCATGCAATGAAACCCTCACTCCTCAATCCCACTATGGGAAATGTAACAACCCATAATTTTCATAAACATTTAACTTTAAAATTCTGGAAAAGTATCAGAGTTTACATGCATTTCACCAAAAAAACAGAGTTTCATAAATCTTTTAAAAATATTTCCAGAAAACATCAACGGGTGTTACGAATTCATAACCTAACCATAACTAAAGCAAACAAGGACAAACATGAAATAAAATTCTAGTCTGACGTCCTTGATGCTTCTAAGTCCTCACACCCTTCTGTTTGCTACCAGAACATGTAAACATAAGTAAACAATATATGTTAGACTATAAGTCTGGTGAGTTATAACATAACATAATATACATCATAATCATACAATATTGCTCAAAGTTCACATATTTAGCTTATCACAATAGTGACCAAGCATCTACTCTGTTATCGGGTGACAAACAACCGATCATCATCTTAGTTTCCATGCAAGACTCTAAGCACAATCTTTCCCAGGGATCCCTTAATCTAATTATTTGTGTGCATGTACACAGACATCATACAACATAACATAAGTTATTTATCATAACATAATCTAACAATGATGTAAGCAACAATTGTATCCATACATTCACATCTTCTATATCACATAACCATACTCTAAATGAAAGTATAACTCACCTTTTGTTGTGGAATAACAACCTACTTCCAATTTCTCCAAAGCCTCTCTTAAGAGGCTCCAAATCCTTCCTCACCACCACCTATGACATTCTCATACACTAAGCCCCTTATACATGTCTTAATCCATTAAGACATCGTTAGATATTTTAGCCAAAAACTCACATTTTGGACAAAACCCCTAGCTTGACAATCTTTTGTCAAAATACTTGCCAAATCACTCCAATCCAACTATTAAACACTTAATCTAACTAGATTATAACATATAAATACTTTCTTCATTATTTCCATTTCTAGGGTTTCAAACCCTAAAATCAAATCATGGAATTTAACCATTATAAATTCATACAAACCATGGATTTGATGGGTTTTCTAGGTTACGTTAAACTTAATCGCACAACGGAAACATCATAAAATCTAATTGTGGGCACATGCAACTTAGAGATCTATGTCTTTTCTCATTATAACAACATACTATTGAAGCAATTATAAACTCTAGCATAGATTGAAATCAATAGATTGGATTACATACCTTGGTGTTATAATTGTATGTAGCACTCTTGAATCCTCATATATGCTTCAGAAAGCTAGCACCAAAAGTATGACTGCCTCTAATGGCTCACACCTAAAACCCTAGAACACTAGAAATCAAGAGGAAAGAGAATAGACAATGAGAAATTCGCATTTCTCATTCTAAGAATGATTGGCCATGAATTTTGAGGCCATGGGGCTTTATTTATATCTAGGGGATCTTCAAGATAAACAATGATATGAATAATAAAATATTCAGATTTTATCTATTAAATGCAATTATCCTTATCAACTCTAGTAGGCTTCTAGAAACCGTAAAAGCCATCCATAAAATCGTCCACTCCTATAGAACCATCTAGAATTGTTCTTTTGCTTAATTATGAATAATTACAATTCAGCCATTGTATCTTTAATTAATTCTAATTAATCCCAAATTAATTTTAGATTAATAATTAGTTAATTTATTAATTATATAATAAATTAACAAATCATTTTATCTTTCTCCTAAATTAATTTCTATTTATTTCTAGTTATTGAGGGCAACCAAAATGACTTCACTTTTATTTAATAAAGTTATACCAATTTAGTTTTGACTTTGACCAGTGTAGTTATGAGCTACAATTGCAAATATAGACTTTGAATATGTAACACTTGATTTGGGTATGTTCATATTTAACCCTTTGTATTTAAAGCATTACAATTTTGGTCCTTATGGCTAGTATGTGTGGCGTACCAAAGAGTACGCTTGGCGTACTAGCTGAAGTATGAACGCGGGCATCGACCACGTACGCTGGACGTATGTGGGTTACGTCGGACGTACACTGGCCAGGGACAAACCCTAATTTTTAGGGTTTGTGCCCTATTTAAGATTCATTAACCCACCTTCTGAACATTTTATACCAACATCCACCCTTTGAAACCCCTAATTCGTCCCTTTGCCTTTGTGTGGTGCTTTTGAGCTTTTGTTTGAACTTTGGTGGGTTTTGTGCATCTTGAAGTGGTAGAAGAAGAAGTTTGAAGACTCATTCCTTGGAGGAGAGCTTAGAGATCCAAATTTAGCTCCTTCATTTGGTGACTTTTTGAGGTATAAAGTCCATACCTTGTCTACTCTTTGCTTTGATCTACTCTTTAGCTTGTTTATGGTCATTTTGGTCCCTTTTGGTTGGTCTTAATGAGCTAAGGCCGGTTTAGAAGCTAAACCTTGTAGATATGGACGTTTTAAGGGTCCCTTAAGCATAAAAATGCAAACTTTATGGTATTTATGGACTCATCCATGTGTTAAGTCATTTGTTAAGCTTTTTTGAGCTCCAAGAACCTCATTAAGCCATGCATGGACGTAAAGTTGCCATCTTTACATGATGAATCATCTTTTGGGACTAGATCTGAGATTATGGAGTAGTGGCTGAATGGATTAAGTGCTTATTTGTTGATATTGGCCAACTAGTGGGTATGTCGGGTGTACCAAGATGGTACGTTGCGCGTACGTGCCCATGGACGAGTACGCTGAGCGTACGAGCTGAGTATGCCTTGCGTACTCAGCAGATGGGCTTCAGACTTTTGGGCCATGTTTGGACTTAGGTGATTAGGGCCTTGTTGGGCCATCATATTTTATTTGGGCTGATGTTTTATTTTGGGTTCACGTGGATGAAGGCCCAAAAAAGGACTTGGGACCAATTTGGAAAAATGGGCCATAATTGGGCTTTGGGGTGGCCATTTTGGAATTGGGATTTCTAGTGTAGTTGGTTTGGGCCTTGGTCTTGGACCAAGCTAGGTAAAGGGTAAAATGGTCGTTTTACCCTAATTTAGACTGATAGTTATGGATTGGAATCCAATTATTAATTAGATGATATTAGTATTGATAGCACGAGGATTTTTCGGACCAGCAACCAGAGATTTATCAGTGTGATTCAGCAGTTCGAGGTGAGTTTCCTCACTGGGTTTAGCATGTCTAAGGCACCAATGTCGGCCCAAGATATGTTATGCTCGGATGCTAGATGTCTTTGTGATTCTTGCATGGGCATGTGCTTGTATGCTTACGGGGCGGACTCACCAATCCTTAAGGGCATCTTCTTCAAAAGCGAAGTACCCCTAATGTCAAAATGCTGCA